TTCCTTTTGTCAATCCTGGTCTTGGGCTTGCTGATCCTCGCCATCAGCGGCCTGTGCTGACTGCTCGATTCGTACGGGTACACCTTGGCGTTGAGCACGTTTTTAGCGGCTCTTTGTCGTACGATGATGTAGTCGATCTGTGTGTGGTGGCTCCCGTTTCTGCTATGGTAGGTGAGGAGTTGAGATTCTCGCCTAATGAAGCAGGTATTCGTGATGGTCATATCATGGGAGTCGGCAAAGTCCAGGATCCTCTGGCCATTCTCATTCGTATCGCCTGTGCCGTGCCCACCGTGGCACTGGTGTCCGTTTTTGTCCCGCCCTACATGACCATTCAGGTCGCCCGAGATGATGATGTCGTCTTCGTGTGGGATCTGCCTGAGTTGGATGTCGAGCAGTTCCCAGAAGGTATCCTTCTCCTCCTCGTGACATCCGGTCTGAGGGGCGTAGGCGGACAAGATGTGTAGGCGCTGCCTCTCGGTCGCTACGACGATTATCATCAGTCGTTCTGTGAGGTGCTTAACTTCTGCGACGGAACTTTGCCAGCTTGGACTGACAACCACAGCTACACCACCGCGGTTTTCCTTACAGCTGGTGTATATGATCTTGTAGCCGTCTATAGTCGTAGCCTTGTTGCCCTTCCAGCGAGTTTCCTGGAGGCAGCAGATGTCCAGCTTCCTGTCCCGCATGGCCCTGACGATCTCGGTCGAGCGTCCAGTCAGCGAATCCACGTTCCAGGTGGCCACCTTGAGCGTCTGGCAGTCCTCTGTTCCCCGCTTGCGTTTTTTCACACGGATCGGGTAGTCTCCGTGCGCATCGGACCCGGACGCAGTCGCCATAGCTTTCTCACACGGTGCAGGTGCGCCGTGCTTTCCGCGTGGACCATTTCGTTGATTTTTGGCGCAGGCCAATGGTCTCCTGTGCCCGTCGGTTCCCCGAACGCGGTAGCATTGGACGTGTGTTTTGTAGTGGACGTTTTCACCATGTTGATGCGGCATTTGAGTACTCCAGCCGGCCTGTCGCGTGGGCCTGTCGTCGGAGGGTCTGCTCTCAGTTACGGTCAGCGTTTGACGGCTTCGCGCATCCAGGGAACACCACTTGGAGGTGGCAGACCGCTCGTCCCCCCTATTCTATTCTATTCTATTCTATTCTATTCTATTCTATTCTATTCTATTCTATTCTA